ACCAAATGCCTTATGATCATCCTTTTCAACCCATTTGCCATAACGATAACAACATGCAAGAATGAGTTGAACCATAGGATTGTTCTGATCATTTAAACAAAAATTGATAATACTATCTGGATTTTGCTTTTTCTTTATTAAAAATTGATCCAAAACGATAAAGATTTCACCGAAAAGTTTGCCTTTGGACCATTCTTCATTAAATAAATTACACATTTCTTTAATAATATCATTTGAAAAGCTTTGTATCTCGTTATCCTCTAAATACAATTGAGTATTATTGTTGGCCATTTTAGTAATTTCAGATGAACTATCAATTTTTTCCGACTGCCCTTCAAATAGACTATTGTATATTGACATTTTGACGCTGTTACTATGGTTCAGGAGAGTGTGTTACAACGATCTAGGTTCACTCTGAGAGTAAATTAAAGTATGAAAAGATGGTTTGAAAATTACACGGGTGAAACCGTATATATGTATGATATATCTATATGTCACGAACTCAAGTGGTAAAAATTATATAGATAATAACAGGGAAGTTCTTTAATTAATTTTATGACAATGGATCACGAAGCATTAAATGAAAGGAAGCGAATATTAAATAAATAAATAAGAATCAAAAAAAGATAGATAAGGAAAGTAAAAAATTAGATAAACAGTGAAATGACTAGTCCTATTTAAAAAAACAATATAAAACTTAAATATTCAGTAAGAATTCAATTCTTATTGTGTCTTTAAAGAGTAATTTGGCTAAAAACCTTTATTATTGCGAATTCAAAGTTATGTGTCATGTTTACAATCCTACATTTTAAATTGATACTTTCTTCTTAAATACTAAACGATCAAATCCAATTTAATACTGAAAATTTAGTTCAGATTAGAGATGTGCCGTATGCATTATGCAAGCGATATTGCATGCTGAATAATGCGATACAAGTTGCTTAAAATTTAAAAAGCACATAGAAGTTATTACGTAATTTGATACATCTCATTTAACCAACAATCTCTTCAGACACTTTACGTCATTGACAAGCTTATTTTACAGAAAATCATATCGTAAACAAGCTGAAGCTGTTGAACCAATACATGCCGTAGAAACTGTTTAGAAATGGATTTTTGATATGAAACTGCTGAGGTATATAAGCGGTTTCTTATCAAAAATCAATGCCAAAATATTTGAACCCTCAAAATTGATATTCAATAAAAAAATAATCCACTGTCTATTTTCGCTAAATAAAAAACTAATCACACTTATTTGCGTCTATGTAAATCTCAAGATACAGTGTAGTATACAGTAATAATGTTGCGAAATCCAAATTACTTTTTGTGTTATAATAGAAAATAAGTAGCTGCGCGACATTGTCGTGCCAAACCAGAACGGATGAATATAAGCTTAATTTAGAAAATGTTAATCAACTCCAATATAGTATAGTTTTGAATTCAGATAATTAAATATCGGGTATATAACTAAATTCAGCATAACTATATTGATATGAAACATTATGATTTAAACAAACAAAAAATTTTTAGATGTCTATAGTATAGAGTGTAAAATATATCTTTAAAAAAAACATATTATACTAATTTCTAATACTAACCCTAACCTTAATAATATATAACGCAGGAATAGATATTAAAAATAGAAGTATTTCACACCCCTTACCGTTGTTACAGTTAATTCGTAACCTTAGGTACAAATTGATCTTGTACTTCTAAGGAATGTCAGTTGGGATTAGAGATGGGAAAAATGCGCATTTTATAATAACATTCGCATGAATGCGCATTTTATAATAACATGCGCATGAATGCGCATGAATGCGCATTAATGCGCACGTTATATAAAATACGCATGATATAATTTTTTTGATTTTATATTTTTCCCTCCGGAAAATGTCGGATATTTGCCTTCACGTCTTTATGTTCATTCATTTTCTTTTCGGAATTTTTCAAACTTTTGTATTCCTATTTTTTAATTTTGCCTGGCATTATACACCTTGGCCTAAATTAAATATACTTTAATTTTCCTATATAAAATTTAGATGGGATAAAATGCGCATGTTTCCAAATCATGCGCACGCATGAAACCCATCCCTAGTCACAATATACCCTCGAAATCTGAATTCAAAATAATATTTACGTTTGATACCAATATTTGGCTTTGTTTAGATTTCTTGTTACTCCAATTCCATTCTGATAACATTCCACAACTTTTGATATTCCATTAATGAATCCTATCTCTACAGATTTCTGACAATAAATGAAAGCCATATGTTCATCCTTTTCAATTCCAATTCAATGACGGTGACAATTTCCAACGTTATATAATCTATATAATCCAAAAGCATCCCCCATCTCAGCAGATTTCTGATAATAATTGAATGCCTTATGCTCATCCTTTTCAACTCCAATTCCATAACGATAACAACATCCAACTGAACTTGTTCCAAAAGCGTTTCCCATATCTGCTGATTTTTGAACACAACCGAATTTCTTTAACAGCTTCATCAATAATTCATGAGAAATATTTCGTGACATGTTATATTCTAAATACAATAGAGTAGCATTGTTCGCTATTTGGGTAATTTTTGATGATTTTTTCCGAATTTCCTTCAAAAAGACTATTGTATATTGACATTTTGACGATATTACTATCTGGATCGAAGAGTGTTACAACTATGAGGTTCAACTCTGATAGAAACTAAAATAAGAAATGGTGGTGAAGCAATGATATGGGCGAAACTGTATACACGTGTATGTATCTCACAAACTCAATTGGAATAATAAGATAAATAATAACAAGGGAATTCATTTACATAGAAATTAATAATGGGATCTCGAAGTATTAAACGAAAGAAATGGAATTCAATTTTTTCGTATATGTTTTGCGAGAGAAAATTACAACCATGTAAATCTTTTAGCCTGATATCATTTCTTTCTAATGCTACTTTATCTTCTAATTTAACCCCAAAAATTTTAGTACAAATATTATGAAATAGCACGAGTTTAGGATAAGTTTAATTTAATGCTATATATAAATTCTTAGATATTATAAGTCAGGAACAACATCACGAACTTCGAAGATCCATATATTTACGTAACATTACATAGGTGACAATGTAATAGCAGATAGTTTGATATAAATTTAAGCGAAAAGCCACTTAACAATTTATATAATTTTATGTTACTTTTTATGTAGTATTACTGAAGGTCCATAGAATGTATAAACATTTGTAAGATGTTATGTAAAGTCACATAAGATTATGTAGATTCATGTAGCATCTTACGTACTGTACCTACGCATGGATCAACATCGCCGTTAAAATTTAATTAATTTGCTGTTACTTATTGATAGATCTGCAATGCACTCTAGGTGGCATTTTGAATGCATCATGATGAACGCGCCTCAATTAGTGAGTCAAAGTATGTCGAAAATATGTTGGAATTAAATTTTAATTGACGGAAAATAATTTTAATCGATCAATCGAGCTTGTCATTAAGATATGTAAGGTAATTAGTTTATTACGTGAAAGAAAAATTTTAAATAGTAAAAAATAACAGTGAGCTTACCATTTTAGTCAAAAAACTTTTGTCCCAAACTACCTTTTTTTTTGCGCTGATTTATCAAAACTTCATAAAACTTAAGTGAATAAAGTACTGCTCAAGGGTTTTCATACTTTATTAGAATTTTCATAAACGATACACATTTTTGGTAAAATTTTTGATAAGCTATTTAAAATCCTCTTAATCGGTGATTTGAAAACTTTATTTGATCTATCGTTTAAATTGAGCATCACTACAGTTATTAGAAAATCAAAGGAATAGTAACGTTTGAGCATATCTCAACAATACCGTCATTCGTATTATTGGCTTTAATTCAAAATGTTATGACAATAGCTAAAATTACGTCATAATACTTTTGCACCATTTTGATTACTATGAGATCGCATCTAGGTTGACGCTTGAAAGCACCCTAAATCCAATAAATTTTTTTATTTTAATTTTCAGTTCTGTAGAGTAAAAAATAAAAAAAAACTTATCAAATTCAGATGAGTGGTTGCCAAGAAATTCTTGAAAATGTTAAAAGCTATCAATATAGCAGCAAACTTTTTTAAAAACTTTGAGCAAAGATTTCTTGGCAACCAATTATCCAAATTCGATGATTCTATTTCTGTGGATCTGCAAAATCAAATAAAAAAACATATTTATCTAATCATTTAGAGTTTAAAAAACATTAAACCGTCTATCAAAATAATAGCCGCAGCCAAATTTTTATAAAATTTGAGCTCAAATTCGATGAGCTTTTTTTTTTTTTTGTTTCTACAGATTCTTAAAATAAAATGAAAAAAAAACTCAATCGAATTTGGCTAGGTGATTGCTAAAATAGCTTCGCTCAAAGTTTTGAAAAACATTAAAACGTTTATCAAAATTAGCTGCTGCCAAATTTTAATAAAAGATATCTTGGTAGTCACTAATCAAATTCAATACGGCCATCATATCTTAGAGTACGACCACTACCACTATTAAATAAAATCTCATCCATTAAACTCATTATTGTAACTAATTAAATCATATCTAGCCAATCATTAATATAGCATTGTATCTGAAATTGTGATTTTTCTAAAATTGCATAACTAGGTAAATCTTATCAGTTATACATAATTGAATATATTGTATGAGTAGCAAATTTTGATTTTAGGTACAGTTGACCCTCTCAGAATCGGTATGCATGGTGGACAGGTTTTGTATCAGTTTTAAGAGGCTATCGGATTTGAAAAAATAGCAAACTATTAGATTTATATAACGGGAACGGACTTGGTAGATTAATTTTTTATCAGATTTGAAAGGTTATCGGCTTTGACAGGATCGGTTTTGAGAGATTCAACTGTATTTGCACCATACCGAAATTATCTAATCGAATAAATCCATAAATTTACGTTCTTGGTATCGTGTGTCGCGCAGCTACCTTATGAATATTTGTATCGATATCGGTGACTCGGATTTCACAGCCACAGCCATTTACATTCCCGAAATTTTTGTTGGTCGTAGCCATCGGTGGCTAAGAGGTTACACCACTGATACCAATTAAACTTTCCGATTATAAACCTGCGCCTCTTATAACTGCGAAAAAAATTCTACAAGTACTTACGATTCTGTATTTGTGCAAATTTATATACAATGCATTAATCTCACATTAACATGGTGATGCCAAGTATTATACTATCTAATTAAACTTGTACATTAGTGTGAACCATTCGGAAACAACATACTGTATGGTATTCGGAAATAACGCTATAAATATTTCAGTTAATTTAAGACTTTGTAAATCTCGGATTGTCATATTTGGTTAGGCTGTACCACTTCGATCATATTATCTTGTGGATACAAAAGTTACATTTTTAATAAATCTGCGGTTACTTTTTTGATAGGCTTAAAATTGAGGTGGCATTCTTGATGCAACACGTTATCATAAAATTTAAATTTTTTCAAAAGTTTGAACAAAGATATCTCGATGACAGCCCAACGAAATTCAACTTTTATTTGATTTTTAAGTTTGTTGAATCAAAATAAAAAATCTCATCGAATGGTTGCTGAGATATCTTCACTTAAAGTTTTATATTTTGCTGTGTTTTTTTTGATAGACGTTGTTACGATGTAGATTTGTAGGCGATAATCACGAGTTATAATTATCTAGTGTGTGATTAAAGATCTGTTAATATGAATGTAAATACTTATATATACCTATAAAGAAGGAGGACAACGGGATGTCTCGAAGCCCTTCATTAATAACCCACATGTTTTGTATATATTTTTTACCTGTTAAACATCAGGGTTAAATTGAACATATTCGTCCGTCGCTCACCCAACCTAGATTGTAACAAGTTTAAAGTTTCCAAACCTTTGAGCGAAAATATCTCAGCAATCACCTAGCTAAATTTGACAATTTTTTTTTTATATATTGATTCTACAGATGTGTAGAAACATTTACAAAAAAAAAAAAATGTCGAATTTGATGAGTGACTACCAATATATCTTCACTCAATGTTTTATTAAAATTTGGTAGCTGCTAATTTTGATAGACGTTTTTATGTTTTCAAAACTTTGAGCGAGTATATTTTAGGATCACCTAGCCAAATTCGATTAATTATTTTGATTCTAAAGATCTGTAGAAACAAAAAAAAAGTTCATCGAATTAAAGGATAGTTACCGAGATATCTTTGCTCAAATTTTATGAAATTTGATTGCGAAAATTATTTTGATAGAAGTTTTAATGTTTTTAAGCTCTGGGTGAAAATTTCTTGGCAATCACCTATTCAAATTCGATAAACATTTTTTTAATTTTACGATCCACAGAAATAAATCATCAAATTTGGATGATTGGTTGCCAAGAGATCTTTGCTCAAAGTTTTAAAAAAAAAATTGTTGTTATATTGTAGCACTTTAATATTTTCGAAACTTTGAAGATACCTCAGCAACCATCTTGCTAAATTCAATGAAGTTTTTTTTTTATTTCGATTCTACAGCTCCTATAAACAAAATAAAAACAAATTCATTGAATTTAGTGAGTGGTTTCTGAAAATTTTATTTTTCAGTAAAATAAAAAAATTTATTTAATCTAGTTGGGCGCTCAACATGATGCATCAAGAATGCCACTTCAATTTAGAGTGCGTTGTAGATCTATCAAAAAAGTAACTGTAAATTAATTAATTAAAGATTTTAACGGCATGCTGAACAATTTTGATCCCTGCATTGATCCCGACTTATAATATCTAAGAATTTATAAATAACATTAAATCAAACTTATTCTAAGTTCGCCGTTATTAAATTAGATGATCAAGTAGCATTTGAAAGAAATAATATCAGCCTAAACTATTTATATTGTTGTATGTTTTCTCTCTCAAAACATATGTGAATAACCTTCGAATACAGCAATAATAAAGTTCTTTAGCCGGCTTATAATTCTAAAGGCACAATAAGAATTGATTTCTCGTTGAATAAGTTTTATATTGTATTTAAATTAAATTAGTCATTTTATTTATTTATTTATTTTTTTGTTAACATTCTTTTTTTTGATTCTTATTTAATATACATTTCTTTCGTTTAATACTTCGAGATCCCATTATTAATTCAATATTTTATTCTATTAAATGAACTCACTTCTTCTTATTTATCTCATTGTTTCAACTTAAGTTTATGACATACTCGTATACGTATACAGTTTCGTCCGCATTATTTTCTCACCATAATTTCTTATTTTATTCTATCAGAGTTGGACCTACATCATTGTAACACTCTCCCGATTCAGATAGTAATAGCGTCAAAATGTCATTATACAATAGCTTATTTGAAGGAGATTCAGAAAAAACTAACAGTTCATTAGAAATTACTCAAATAACCAACAATGATACTCAATTGTATTTGGAAGATAACAAGTCACGAAATATTTCACAAGATATTGTTTATGAAACTTTTAAAGAAATGTGTAATTTGTATAATGAAGAACGACTTAAAGGCAAATACTTCTGTGAAATCCTCGATACATTAGAACAATTTTTAATGAAGAAAAAGCAAAATCCAGATAATATTATCAATTTTTGTTTAAACGATCAGAACAATCCTATAGCTCAACTCATTCTTACATGTTGTTATTGTTTTGGTAAATGGGTTGAAAAGGACGAGCGTAAGGCATTCGCCTGTGCTCAAAAATCAGCAAATATGGGGAATTCACACGGAATGGGTGCTGTTGGATTTTATTATCTTTATGGAATTGTAGTCGAAAAGGATGAACATAAGGCATTCATTTACTTTCAAAAATCTGCAGAGATGGGGGAAGCTTTTGGAATAAACCATGCTGCAGATTGTTACCGCCATGGAATTGGAATTGAAAAGGATGAACATAAGGCTTTCGCTTATTATCAGAAATCTGCAGAGATGGGATTCATTAATGGAATGTCAAAAGTTGCAGAATGTTATCGGAATGGTATTGGAATAACGAGAAATTTAGATGAAGCCAAATATTGGTATCAAAGGTAAATCTTAATTTGATTTCAAATTTACGCGGATATATGTGACGCATCACAACCAAATACGTAATAAGATCAGATCTAATTAAATCAAAAAACACGATGGTTTATATCAGTGTTAAAGTTAGGGCAGAATTATAACCTAAGTATTTTTAAAAAAATTGTTTTATAAGTAAAATTTCGAGCCACACCTGATCTTAGTACTATATTGGTGGATTTGGAGTCCGCGCATGTCTCCAGGGTAACAGATTACAACATTCATTCATTATATATCGGCATTATATACTTATTTAATAACTCTAAATATAAAATCGCTGATTAGGGAAAAAGATTTAACATTAGGTATTATCTATTATATTTAAGTTATTGTTAATATTGTTATTAACTTATTTATACTCTAAAATTGATGAATTTTATAAATATTAGCTACAAATGAATGGATGTATAATTTAGAAATTGAAGATGATTTAAAAAAAATATTTATCGAAAGTAAAAATAAGTTATTCTGGATTTCTTATGATGATTTTAAAAATATTGAAGAAATAGGTAGAGGTGGATTTGCAACTGTATACCGTGCTTATTGTTTAAGTAAATGTCGATACTTATACAGTCCTGTTGCACTTAAATTACTTCATGAATCAAATAACCATCGTAAAGAATTTTTAAGAGAGGTAGCCTTTTTGAATATACTATTAGCAGATTATTCATGATTTATTATTAAATTAACAATTTAAATATATATTTCCTTTAATAATAAGTTAAAAGCATATTGTGATATCGGTCTTAAAGATCCAACTTTTTTAAGATGTTTCGGTATATCAAAAGATAAAATTTCTAAAAATTATATTCTTGTCATGGAATATGCTTTTGAAGGTTGCTTACGAGAAAATCTACACACTATAGCACAAATGGATTGGAAAGATAAATTAAATCTGTTACAATGTATTGCATCAGATCTTCTAATAATTCATTCTCAAGAACTTATTCATCGAGATTTACATAGTGGAAATATACTTTTAAATAGCCTAAAAAGTGCATATATTGCAGATTTAGGGCTTTCAATTGCGGCTAATAGTGCATTAAAATCAAGATCTGATGGAGTTTATGGAATTTTACCATATATTGCTCCTGAAGTTTTGAACCAACAACCATATACTAAAAAATCCGATATTTATTCATTTGGTATAATTATGTGGGAAATTTTGTACGGTATACCTGTTCCTTATGAGCAAATATCAGACTTACAATTCCAATTACAAGTATGTAATGGTTTACGACCAAATATTTATGAAAATACAGCAATATGCTATGCAGATTTAATGAAGAAATGTTGGAACATGGATCCAAAAAATCGGCCAACAGCAAAAGAAATTTATGATATTTTTGCAGAATGGCAGAATAATGAAGATATTTTATTAAAATTGTCTGAATCCGATGAAAAACTAAAAAAGTCAACAAATGAAGATATACAATTCGATGTTGAATCACATTATAAAAGTAATTTTATTTCATTTAATAGGGGTTATAAATATCAAGGTAATTATTATTCTTGGTTTGTTTAATAAATTATATATTATATATTATAGCATTACTTGAAACCCTTTTTTATAGGCAGTAAACTATATGAGCTGAAGATACCGGATATTTTGATTAATAAAAGCACCTCATAGTTTTGGAGAAAAAAGTATGGCATAGTGTCACGGGGTTGAGCGATACTAGCAGTTTAGCACCGAAATCTAACCAGATATGGATCTAACACTCGCTTATTTAAATGTTATTGACAATAATATTGATTATTCTCTTTATTCAGAATATGCAAAGCTCTAACTAAACTAATCTATTCAAAGTTAATATTAATCTCTAGATCTTTCCCTTTACATTTCTTATTTATATCCTTATATTCTACTCTATTATTGTTATTATTCTATCATCGCTTTTACTTCGATTACCATCATATACGTGACACATAGACATAAATCTTTATCAACACATAAAATTAGACCTGACCATATCTGATAATAGAATGATAATGAATAGAATATACTGTTATAAACATTCTCATTGATAGATTAAAAACCTAATTCTTCCATTTAATTCTTTATGTTTTGTTGTAAAATATTAAGTATCTTGATTACAAAATTTTAAATAGATCCTATTATGTAATGCATAGAATTTAT